CTCGCTGGCTAGCTTCAAGCGCACCACCGATGTCAACGCCTTCCCTGGCGTTGGCTTGAGCCAAGCAGGTACTTGATCTGACATGGTGATGGCTGTCTCTGCTCGCTTTGTCGTCCACTGCTCTGGGCTTGCTACAGGCAAGTCCGGCTGTGGCGTGGGACTGGCTGCCTGTTCCAAAAGCAAGTCCCAAAGTCGCCAGGACAAGTCTAGCCTGGCTTTCTCATCCTCCTTGCTCAGGTTGGCTGTCTGTTGGCAGGATCTGTTTCGAAGACCGCACTTTGCGAGGAGCTGGATCTGGTACTTGCTCCTCTGCTTTGGCTTGCTGGCTAGCGTGGCTTTCTTTTGCACCATGGCTGCCAGCTCCTTCTCACCTGTCTGGTCAAGAAGACCCTTTTCCTGTTCTGCCTGCCTGACTGCAATGGCTTTGTCGAGCCTTTCTTGGAAGTCCATCAGCACGTCTTCGTTCGTCAGGACGTGCTGGCTGGCTTCCTCATTCAAGGCCCAAGCACGGGTCTCAGACCAGACTGGAAGGAGAAAGTCTGGCCTACCCAGCACTTTGCCTGGGTCAGGCAGTCTCCTGCCTGTTGACTTGCTGACGAGGTGCACGAGACCCAAATGGCTGCCTGTCTGTCTGGCACTGTGTCCTCGCCCCGTGCTGGCGAGAAAGTTAGTGACTTTCTGTCTGTGATAGTCTTTTTGCAGGTTGAAGCAAAAAGACTTGCTCACACCATACTGCCTCATGACATGCTGCCTGGCTGCAGTTTTGCTTTTGTGAGTTACAGCTGCTCTGTCTAACTCTTCCATCATGGAAAGCTTGCCTCTGGCTGTCACATCACATCGCCTCTTGCGAAGATGCGGCACCGCTTTCGTCTTCTGCTTACTGCCTAGCGGTCTGCCTCCCCGTCTCTTTTTAAGAACTCCAAGAGCTGGCTCCAGTTCGAGCTTTTCCACTGCTTGGCTGGCTTTCTGCTGCAGGTTTTGCATGTTCTCAGCTTGCTGCTGTTTCTGTCTGTCACTAGCTGTGTCTGGCGAAAGGCCGGGCTTGGCCTCTGCCTCTGCTGCCTTGCCCCAAAGGTAGTCTAGCCTGTAGTAGACTGGACTGCCTTGGCCTAAGGTCTTTTTGAGCTGTTCTATCTTTCTCTTTTGCACAGGGTTGCTGTCTGGGCTCTGGCTGCCCGGGCTCTGGCTGCCTGGGCTCTGGCTGTCTCCACCCTTGCTGTCAGGACTGAACAGACGCTTCTTCGGCGAAGGTGTGTGAAAGCTGGCCTGCCTCTTGACTCCTCTAGCTGTCTGGCTGCTGTCTAGGCTGTCTTGGCTGCTCTGCCTGCAAACCACTGCCTGTGGTTCTTCCTTGCTCAAGTCAACTACCTCTACTGTCTTGGCTGTCTTCCTTCTTTTGGCTTCCCTCTCGTCGTCCTGATGTTTAGAGCAATTCGGTCAATTCATTCATCAGCACCCCTGCGCCTTGTCAAGCTCGGCCAAAGCATTCTCCAAAGCGGCTCGCAGCTTGGCCTGCACGTTTGGGAAAAAAAAACAATCAGAAGAAACATGCCAGCACCATCCAAACGAGGCTCTTCCAGTACTAAGCTTGTACTACAATTGAGCACCATCCAGCCAGCATCGGACAGGAGACACTTCTAGCACCGACATCATCCCGACAGCATCCGAGACGAGGCTCTTCCAGTACTAAGCTTGTACTACAATTGAGCACCATCCAGCCAGCATCGGACAGGAGACACTTCTAGCACCGACATCATCCCGACAGCATCCGAGACGAGGCTCTTCCAGTACTAAGCTTGTACTACAATTGAGCACCATCCAGCCAGCATCGGACAGGAGACACTTCTAGCACCGACATCATCCCGACAGCATCCGAGACGAGGCTCTTCCAGTACTAAGCTTGTACTACAATTGAGCACCATCCAGCCAGCATCGGACAGGAGACACTTCTAGCACCGACATCATCCCGACAGCATCCGAGACGAGGCTCTTCCAGTACTAAGCTTGTACTACAATTGAGCACCATCCAGCCAGCATCGGACAGGAGACACTTCTAGCACCGACATCATCCCGACAGCATCCGAGACGAGGCTCTTCCAGTACTAAGCTTGTACTACAATTGAGCACCATCCAGCCAGCATCGGACAGGAGACACTTCTAGCACCGACATCATCCCGACAGCATCCGAGACGAGGCTCTTCCAGTACTAAGCTTGTACTACAATTGAGCACCATCCAGCCAGCATCGGACAGGAGACACTTCTAGCACCGACATCATCCCGACAGCATCCGAGACGAGGCTCTTCCAGTACTAAGCTTGTACTACAATTGAGCACCATCCAGCCAGCATCGGACAGGAGACACTTCTAGCACCGACATCATCCCGACAGCATCCGAGACGAGGCTCTTCCAGTACTAAGCTTGTACTACAATTGAGCACCATCCAGCCAGCATCGGACAGGAGACACTTCTAGCACCGACATCATCCCGACAGCATCCGAGACGAGGCTCTTCCAGTACTAAGCTTGTACTACAATTGAGCACCATCCAGCCAGCATCGGACAGGAGACACTTCTAGCACCGACATCATCCCGACAGCATCCGAGACGAGGCTCTTCCAGTACTAAGCTTGTACTACAATCCTCTGTTCTTTGCTATCAGTAATTACTGCATTCGGCCTTGCACCCGCGAATCGTGGTCGTGATAATCTCCTACGGGTCAGAATTGCACTACCTCGACATGCTACAGGATAGCTGAGGGGGTAGTGCCACACTCTTGACGGATAGTGCCGAGGTTCAATTCCCTCCCCCGTCATTTTTGTGTCTGAAGGATTACTAACGCCTGTCTTAGAAAAGATCCCGCCTTGTCCTGGGCTTCCTCGCCGCCCATGGCGGCACTCAGCCGCCCATGGCGGCGAAGCGAAGAAGCACTCCCACGTCTTGTCTGCCTCCTCAGTGAGTGTGTGTGAGTGGTGTCTGTGTTTGAGTGCTCCGGTGGGTCTGTCTGAGTGTGAGTGTGAGTGTGAGTGTGAGTGTGAGTGTGTGTGTGTGACAGCCTGTTGAAGCGAGGCACAAAGGCCTCTTCTTGAGGCTGCCTGTCTGTGGCGGAGCGGGCAGATTGTTGACAGCTTTCAGAAGCAAAGCACTTGCAGCGAATGCCAGAATCTTGGAACATCATTAATTAATCAGTTCCTATCATATTTAATTAATTATCATGTTATTTCCAAGCTTCTGGCATTCACCACATGTGCTCTTCTGCACTTGTGCAACCATGAAGCATTGCTATCATCAACAACAACATCATCATCATGTTCTTCATCATCATCATGTTCATTGCTATCATCAACAACAACATCATCATCATGTTCTTCATCATCATCATGTTCTTCTCCTGGACCATGATCATCGTCATCATTACCATCACCACCACTACCGCCATCTTCATCATAACAAGCATCACCGTAATCGTCATCATCATTTTCATCGTCATCATTTTCATCATTTAATTACTTGTAGAACCTGTGTTTCTAGGAATTGAGATAACAACACCCCCCTAATTATAAAAACATTTTCGAGTTTTTATTTAGGGCGAAGGGGGGGGGGGCCCCGACCCTTTAATATTAGGGGGAGGGGATTACTAGTGGAGCCGGTACTGGTACTGGTGCTGGTTCTAGTGCGAGTACTAGTCGTATTATTGTTAGTAGTCGTGGTGGTGGTGGTGGTGGTGGTGGTGGCAGTACAATCACCGGTAGTGGTAGCAATACTTGGAGTGGCAGAGGTATCAAGGTCGCAATGCTGTCAGGTGAAGTAACACTGCTAGCAACACCTAAGATAAGGAACAGGTGGGCACGTCCTACCACCCGGACACATGCTTGGAGTAGCAGTGTCTTATCATGATAGAGCAAACAAGGCGATGTCAGAAAGTTTTGTAGTGTTACCGTAGTAGCAAGATGTCAGCAGTGACCTCCATGTTGTTGACCATCGGCATCATCACCATCACCAGCATCATCTTCATGAGTTTCGTCGCCATTGTCACCATCACTGTATTCATCGTCATCATCAACAACGTCCGCATCAGCATCAGCATCAGCATCATCATGCCAATATATGCCAACCTTTAAACGTCAGCGCTGTTGCAGTTTCGGACAAGCAGCTAGTCCGACCGCATGCATGCGTCCTGCCGCCGCCAGTTTGCAAGGAAGACGATTCGTAGTTCTTCCCATTTAGTGCCTCCATATCCAATGAAGCAAATGTCAATGTCGTGGCCCGCGCGATCTTCCTGGGCCATGCTGTGGCTTCGGGCTTAGATTCATCTGTGAACAGGGGCTTCTTAGTGCATGGGCTTGCACCATGCCTGAGAGCATACATGTGTAGAGCGAGCCCGTGTTGCGACACCTACTTCTACTTGGTTGATGTCTGCTTCAGGCGACTGTCAGAGCAGGTAATGCATGCAATTGTAGTCCTATTCCACTTAGCCAGCCGTGCTCGTGAGACACTCCGTCTGCTTTGAGTTCTGGCAAGGACAATTATCCCTATGGCCGCCGCAATGAAGCTGGCTCAGGCTAGCTGTCGTGTTTTCATGCTTGCTGAGTTCAAGGGAGCTGTCAAGTTTGCTGCGGTAATTTGTTCCTGGATCAGCTTGCAGCGGTGCTTCATGCCTCACTTGGATAGTCTGTGGCGACGCAGGAGTCGAACACCGTTTCAGAAGCTACCGTCCGCATGCACAACGCAGACTCGGAGTACCTTCACGGGTCCATGGAAGACATGCACAGTGCACTGGTGGCTCGGTCCTCCAGAAGCTCGTCACGTGAGCGCACCAATGCCTCCGTTGAAGATCTTGATGAGTCTCTCGATGCTGTCGTGTCGGCAAAGTTCTTCGGTGGTATCGTCGACGCCTTCACAAGTGTTGGCAACGCGCTTCGTGATGCAGGCATCGCGGTCGCACCTGAGGACGGGCCAGGGTCCATGTTTTGTAGTGCAGTGGGGATGACTGCGCCCAGGCATGGCAGTCGGAACGGCCGTGGGCAACGCCGCTATGGTGGTCGGCAATCGAGTCATCGAAGCACCGAAGTTGACGATGGATGGTCTGAACTCACTTGGCAAAGGCGACTTGAAGGGATTTGCGGAGCGTATCGGCAGAACCCCCTTGGCTGTCGCCAAGGTCACAATCAACACAGGCCGTGATATAGGGGAGATTGCTGTAACCCAAGCAGTCAGGCTCGCGAAGACCACGCTGGAACATGCGAGGAAAACCGCCGAACAAGGAGCGAAACTGGCAACAAAGGTGGGGAACTACATCGCAGACAAAGCAGTGGCATTGGGAAATGAAGTTGCCAAGGTTGGGCCCTTGGCTGCAGGCTTGGGAACGGCAGTCTGGAACGAGATGAAGAAGTACCTGAATTGCCTAAAAGCGTCCACCTCTCTTTGTGCAATGCTTATTGGCAGGCAATGCGATTGTAATGCCGGAAGCTACGTCAAGGTCTATCACAACAGAATGGAAATGCGGTGTGTCTTCTCGAGAACCTCCGAGTTCTCGAAGGGCTTCGGTATCAAGGCAACGCGGGACAGCAATGGCGGCGGCAGCACTCTGCCCGGCAGCGAGTATTCACAGGCGTACAAGATGTACACCGACGTAATGAAGTCGAGAAAAGGTTTAGAAGAGACTTGGTTTCACCACAGAATCGATTTGATTGAAGGTCTAGATATACCCCTAAACCCTTAAACCCTAAACCCTAAACGGTGTTCAGGTCTAGGTCTCTAGGATTCCATGCCATCCGTACCTTATTTTGGGGCCCTTGTGATGAGGATCGTGCTATTTAGGGTGCTATATTAGCGTTCTCTATTTTCGGAAACTCCAATGTGTTCTTTGGTGCATGGGAGCGAGGTCAGCCTGACCCTAAAGCCCTTGGGTCTCTAACCTTCAACACTGCATTCCAGAGTTTAATTATAGTAGTAATACTATTACTCATACAAATACTAATGCTCATAGTCATTACAGAAATGGCCATCATAAGATTATTGACAGTAATACTACTAGCAGCATGAATAGGATAGAGTCTGAAGCCTTTCCCGAAGCAAAATTCAGCATCTGGACTTTCCTAAGGCCATGCAGTCACCCAAGCCTGCGGGCATGTGCGAAACTGAGCTGAAAGTATCCGTCGACGGTGTCACACAGTGGAACCCTGACATCACGGTGAGTGTTGGGACCAACGGTGACACTGTGCTCCTGGGACTTCTTGGTATTGCCGTTTCCTTAAAGTTACAAACGCCTCCCGGTTGGGTCAACAATAACTTGTTGTGGCAGTGAAATACGTGAGCAGACCTGTGTCGTGTCAGAAAGAGACAGAACAGACTAGAAGCCTCTGTGAAGCAGGATCTCACTCAGCGGCTCCGTGCAGGGGTCCTACGACACGCTCGTTACCGGGCAGGGCAGCTGCAGCTACACGCTCAAACGAGGCTCCTTGGCGACTGTAGGGCAGAAGTTTGGGTTCGAATGAGTGATGACATTGATCCAGGCTTTCCGAAGAAGCCCAAGACGAAGGTGGTGTGCGCCGGCAAGTTTTGAATCTCGACTAGATGGGAAAGCTTGGACACACAAAAGATGCCTTATATAATCAGGATGCAATCTTGGCATTCGTCAGCCTTTTGTGGCTCACAAATGGGTTCCCGACCTCAAAGCAAGCTCCCTCGCGCCTTCAAACCTAGCCCAGCGACTTTGTTTGCTTCGATGCGCCCTAGGCGTCATGATATCGCTGCAGATGGTTGCATCGCTGGTGGGAAAGGGCGTCCTTACCGGAACCATCGATTTGTCGAACGACGTAGATTTCCAAATCTCCGCCAGAGCCACCGTCAAGAAGAACGGCGAGTCCGATGTCACCGTTAACAGCCTCGGCACGAAGCACACGGCCGGGTTCGGAGAAAGAGAGGTTCCCCCTCCCAGCCTCCAGCTTAGCCTCCAAGAATACTATAGTAATGTACTGGTACACCTAAAATCGTATGATACGGTAACAATATTCCCTAGTATCGTCCCTAACCCCGAAACCCCTAAACCCTAAGCCCGAAACCAGTGTAGTAGTATGGCGCGTTCCAGGAAGCCGTCAAGGTCGGGGCGAGCGCCGAGGCCTCGTTGAGATTCAGCGTGGGGCCAGAGCTCGTAGTGCCTCAGCCGCCTCTTTCGGGCCCTACTATAGGGGCCTAGAAATTACGAAGAATATTTTGGGGGTTCCTCATATTATAGTTATAATATAATGGGCATAATGGGCCCCGAAGCCCTAAAGGCCTATGGGCCCCGAAGCCCTAAAGGCCTTTATATTACTGTGCCCATTGAAGCTCTGAAAGTGTGTTGAGCTACGCCCTGCCCAGGGTGTGTGTGCTTGTCCGGAATGAAGTTTTGAGGTGTGGCCCATGCCTGGTATTCCGATTACTTTCGCGCCCAAGTTTCACGCGGAAGCCAAAGCGAAGGGCACCATCAAGTACCCATCAAGCTGCTTGCTTGTCTCTTGAAGTCACAGACCATGCCCAGATGTAACAAATGGTATCTACTATACAATATATAGTCTATAGTTTTTGATTTTTCGTATATAGTATATAATATGTAACATATGACATATAATATATAGTATATACTAACATAGTATACATAATATACAAAATCGCACAGAACTTCGAACCCTAAACCCTAAACCCTCAACCGACGAAGGCTCTCTGCTCCTCGACCAGGAATCGGCCGAGGAGTCTCTTCCTTTTGAGGGCTCAAATGCAAGCTTGGGGCTGCTGGAGGCGGAGGAGCCGCGGGGCTTGAAGCTTTTTACTAGTTTGTACTATATACTATATACGATGTACTATATACTATGTAATGTGTACCATTTAGGATATAAGATATACTCTCTATGTATATATATATATACTATATACCATAAACTGTATGTATGTATATGTATATATGCACATGTATTTAGTGTCCCGTTTTACATTGTCCCGTTATGTGAATATAGTATAACAAATGTATAACATGTAATATATATATATATGTACTATATGCTCTATGTTGTATATTGTATACTAAATGTCATTTATTAGACACTGTCCGCGCTGACTAGAGTTCAGAGGTTTGGGGTTTTGGGGCGGAATTGGCTTTCTGCTCTTCGGCGTACAGTTTAGCGGTTTAGGGATAAGGGTTTAGCTCCTCTCAGTGTATGGTCAAACAGACTGACAGTGGAATGGAATGTGGGGTCTGAAGAACTAGCAACACACCTTCTCATATCTTCTATTTTGTTACAGCATTCTACGCCCTAGAACCTCATTCTGCTTGTAAATGCCCGTGTTTTCAACCCCCCGGTGGCTTGCCCTGCACATTTAGGTCTCGGAGGGACTTCGCACAGTGTCCGTTCAGGGTTTCGAGGACCCTGAACCCAAACCCATGTCATGGTGCATGGTTTGCATCCAAGATCAATTTCTCAATACGTACTCCTCAAAGAAGACACCTGCAACCCTAACCCCAAACCCTAAACCCCAAACCCTAAACCCGTAAATCCTAAACCCCTAACTCCTAAACCCTAAACCCCCCAGACAGAAAGAAATACAAATTGCTTGTCATCGCTTACGTCGAACCCCCTAAACCGTCAATTTCAAACCCACCCCAACGCCCAGCCCAGCCCGCTCACAAAAATGCACACTCGACGAGAGAAGCGACTTTACATATGTTCTTTCATACACAAAAATGACGAAACACGAATCGAACCTCCCGCGCCAACGGCTCATTTCGGCTCTCTGGGTCTACCGTTTTTGAAGGACGACTCGGCTCCTGCGTAGCCCAAGTAATGCCTTGACAGATTGGCTCCTGAAGTACCCCACACAATGCCGTAGCAGATCGGCTCCAGCAGGAGCCATTTTCATGTCAGATGTGGTGGTGTTCCAAGCCCCCAATAAGAAAACAAGTCTGGTTTCAACTCTAGTGTTTACCTAGCAGGTAGCGTTCGACACACCAATAGGAAAAAACAACTCCAAGATGCCAGCTTGAAGAAGCTTTGTGGCTGCGAGCATTTTGAGCCAGCGACGAGGTTTGGGGACACGAGTACGTTGTCATCGCTTGTGGCTGTGAGCAACTTACCAGCGACGAGGTTTGGGGACATGATCACGTTGCCATCGCAAGCAGTGGCTGCTAGCGCCTTGAAGCAGCGACGAGGTTACCAGGTTTCGGGACACGATTACGTTACCATTACAATTGGTGGTTGTTAGCACCTTGAAGCAGCGACGAGGTTTGGAGACACGATTACGTCACCATCGCAAGCTTGTGGCTGTGAGCAAGTTACCAACGACTAGGTTTGGAGACACGATGACGTTAGCATCGCGAGCTTGTGGCTGCGAGCACCTTGAAGCAGCAACGAGGTTTGGGGAGACGATTACATTACCAACGCAAGCTTGTGGCTGTGAGCACCTTGAAGCAGCGATGAGGTTTGGGGACAAGATCACGTTTCCCATCGCAAGTTTGTGGCCGTGCGCAAGTTACCAACGACGAGGTTTGGGGACACGATTACGTTACCATCGCAAGCTTGTGCCTGTTAGCACCTTGAAGCAGCGACGAGGTATTGGGACACGATTACGTTACCATCGCAAGCTTGTGCCTGTTAGCACCTTGAAGCAGCGACGAGGTATTGGGACATGATTACGTTACCATCGCAAACTTGTGGCTGTTAGCACCTTGAAACAGCGACGAGGTTTGGGGACACGATTACGTCACCATCGCAAGCTTGTGGCTGCGAGCAACTTACCAGCGACGAGGTTTGGGGACACGGTTTCGTTACCATTGTAAGCTTGTGGCTGCGAGCAACTTACCAGAGACGAGGTTCGGGGACACGATTACGTACCGTCGCAAGCTTCTGTGATGTTGAATGCACGACTAAAATACCGAAGCCTAAATCGAAAGGGGTTTAGAGTTTAGGGTTTAAGGTTCAAGACGACTCGCGTGGCCCAGCCCAGCCACCACCCCATCCCCAGTGCCCAGCCGCATATCCCTCTCCAACCCAGCTCAAAAATCAAGTTCAAAAAAGGAAACATGTCAAAGCCGCCAGTGCCCAGCTCCCAGCCCCTAGCCCCCAGAAAACATCTGCTTCCGAGAAACACCAGCCCAGCCTCCCGGCCCAGCAACTTCAAAAATGAAACCTGCTCAACACTTTTGCTCAAAACGTTTCGCTCAAAGCATATCGCTCAAACTTATTGGTACCAAAACCCTTAACAATTTCTATAAGCTCTCCCAAACAGCTCTTCTGAGCTTCCAGGAGGGACGCACCGCCAAGCTCCCGCAGTGTCACGCCGCCGCCTGGGGCCCGGCTTGATCCGAGGGATGCGATTGGGTAGTTCTAAAGTAGGGTCCCTTTTGGGGTCCGTTTTCGTAGGGATTGCGGGGTAATTCTAAAGTAGGGTCCGTTTTAGTGTCCTGTTTAGTAGGTTCGATTTTGAGAATCTAGACAGGGACCCTAATTTGGAGAACTCGCCTATTTTGATTAGGTCGTACCACTTTGAGCTGTCCCGTCGGAAGTCGCTACTTAGGCCGTGAGCTTGTATACCGACTTTACCATCACCGGCTTCGCGATCCCGAAGTGGTTGAAAGATCTCTTGAAGGACGGCTTTCTCAAGGACAGGATCAAAGAAGCGATCAACGAAGGCGGCTCTCTGTTCGTGCAGGGGATGCTTAATTAGGATGCGACATGCGACATCGTTCAAGATTCTCACACCGGTACGTGGCTTAGGTGCAAGAGCCATGATCAAGATGATGACCGGGCCACTGCAGTGCATCCCCGGTGCAAGTGCGGTCACCAACAAGATCATGGACGCGGCCCGCGAAGCCGGGAACCTTCTTTCAGGCCTTATCCCTAACCTCGGTCTCAAGTGGGACTTCAAGTCGATCTACATTCTGAAGCCTCAGAAGCTCTTTTGCAAGGAGGTGTGGAAATACCCGAATTCCCCGGATTTCGAGAACACCCCATGCGCGGATCAGCTCGGATGTGGAACCGCCGGCCAGGGGGTGGCAGATGAGTCGGAGGTCGAGGTTGTGCCACCGGAACAGGTTCGCCAACCGACTGTGAACAGACACTAGGTGGCACTTTGGGAAACTTTAACATTTCCCGCATGGCTCATACGGAGGTGCCTGCTCATAATACCTTGAAGGGCCCTCAAACTACAACCCAGGACAGCACGGTACCCCTGGCTGCCCAAACGGTCTGAAAATGGGGGACCGCTTCATTGAGCTTGGCAAGTTCCGCATTGCCGAGCATTACGACCAGTACTTGTCGGTCTCGCACAAGGACCTTGCACCCTACAATCTAAATTCGAAGCCTTGCTTATTACCAACGCTATTTGTTGGGCTTCCTTCATGTACCCAGTATTCAGTTCCATCATACTCGTATGCACCGAAACCCTATGCTAGTTTTTCTGATTCCTTAGGCTGCTATATTACCCTAAACCCTAAGCCATCCTAAACCATAAGCCCAATATTCATCAGGCTGCTATATTGCCCTAAACCCTAAACCATCCTAAACCATAAACCCAATATTCATCAGGCTGCTATATTACCCTAAACCCTAAACCCTAAACCATCCTAAACCATAAACCCAATATTCATCAGGCTGCTATATTACCCTAAACCCTAAACCCTAAACCATCCTAAACCATAAACCCAATATTCATCAGGCTGCTATATTACCCTAAACCCTAAACCCTAAACCATCCTAAACCATAAACCCAATATTCATCAGGCTGCTATATTACCCTAAACCCTAAACCCTAAACCATCCTAAACCATAAACCCAATATTCATCAGGCTGCTATATTACCCTAAACCCTAAACCCTAAACCATCCTAAACCATAAACCCAATATTAGAGCCTCAGCCCTCAACCGCAGAGAGTCGGGACTGGCCCCTGGGCTTTCAGGACACACGGAAGGTCGCTGTGGTCTGGGAGAAGAAGCTGGGTTCTTGTTTTGGGGGGTTAGTTAAGTTACCATTTATTATAGGGTTTTAGAGCAAATAGTAAAGCATAAAGCATATGGTTCCTTTATCATGGTACCTTTAGTCAGCCCCTTAATAAGAACCCAGGAACGGGAACGCTTGGCGTCGTCACGGCAGCGACTGGCATCGATACGATGCCTGGGGCAGGCAGGGAGCTCAGCCATGTTTCGATTGTTGTTGAACTTCAAAAGGGACCTGAACTGCGTGGCTAAGGTCGAATGGGCTTGGCAAAAAGATCAAGTTCGGCTTCGAGTTTATCCAAATTGGCAAGTTCCGCCTCGGGGCTGTGGATGACAGACACCTCTCGATCTCGTGCCGGGCTGATTCGGAGCTAGAGCTCTTGAGTTTAAAGTTTTGGGTCTAGGCTAGGGTTTAGGGTCTAGGGTTTATAGGGTTAGGGGTCAGGGGTTGCAGCTTACGGGCTTGGCAAATACCTTAAACCCCCAAACCTTAAATTGAATTGCCGTGGAATGCTTAACTTGCCACAGGCTAGGGCGAGGCAAATCGGTGGTCAAATATCAGGCAATGGTGGGAGCAGGATTGCTTAAACAGGGGGGAAAGGTAGAAGCAGGATTGCTTTAACATGGGTAACAGAAAGTACATAAAGGGAAGAGTTCAGGAAAAGCTCGGCTTAACATTGTAAACTGAAAGCATTGCTATCTGATGGTTGCCAACTCCCGCACCAAGTCAACCGACCAAGAGACTATCTTTTCGAAAGCTTGCTGGCGATTCTCGGAACCTTATCGGAACCTCCTCGGACTTTCCCAGAACCTCCCCGGAACCTCCTCGGAACCTCCTCGGAACCTCCGGTTCCTGGGAGCTTCCGCCTCCTCGTGTGCCCGTTTTGTCGCACTTTGTGCACCTCGCGCTGTCGCGGTGTCAGTTGCTTCTGGGTGGCTTTCTTTCTTTTTCTTCTATTTGTGTGTGTTTGTGTGAGCGGGTGTCATATGCGTATGTGCATGTACGTGCTCACGAGCGCGAGTCTGCATCTCTGTCTTTCTCTCTTTCTCTTTCTCGTGACTCACTGACTCACTCACTCACTCACTCACTCGCTCGCTCACTCACTCACTCACTCACTCAATCACTCTCTCTCTCTCTCTCTCTCTGTCTGTCTCTCTCTCTCTCTCTCCCTCTCTCGCTCTCTGTCTCACACTCACAGTCACATTCACACTCGCACTCGCACTCACACTCACACTCGCAATCACACTCACACTCGCAATCACACTCACACTCACAGTCACACTCCTGCCAATCGCAGCCGTAATGTTGACGTGGCGATTAGGATGATGATGAAGAGGAATATGCTGATCGTAAAGATCAGGATGGCAGTAGCGCTAAAGAAGAACGGCAGTGAAGCCAATTTTGAGGGCAACGAGTATCACGGTTTGTCACGAGTCTCGGCTAAGGCACACACAAGACAGGAGGACCGCGATGATCTTGCGAGACGATGGGCATCAAACATGGGGATCCCGCACTGCCGCCCGGCTTGGTGTGAGCAATACGGCAAGGAGACTTTTTTTGGGTATGTTTGAGGTCAGACAAGATTCCCAGCACGTGGTTATTCCAGCCAGGGGTTGCCCTTAGCGACCAGGACTGGAACACCCTGGACCGCTCTGAGGGAGCTCCCGTGGGCATCACTTTCGGAGACGGGCTTCCTGGCCCGGTTTAGGGATGTTAGGGATTCGAGATCGCGAAGCTGTCACCTTGTGCTGCAAACGGTAGTCCCATGATCAAGAGTATGATACTGCTCGTAGTGAGGAATGCATCTGACTCGATGTCTTCTTGATAATTTCTGCATGTCGTGCCTCCACTTTGCAGATCAATCTACACTTGACTATGCTAACATGCGCATCTATGAACGTTTGCCTGTTTGTGTGTGTGTGTGAGTCCGTATCGCCGCCTTTCTGTCTTTCTAGACCAGTCGTAAGCATGCACATATGCATGCTGGCATACACACAGGTTTTGCACCGCGAGGTGCGCACTAAGGGGCCTAAATTATTATACCAATACTACTTGGGGTTCCTTATTATCGTTATTCTTCTAAGTATTGAGGCCCCTACATTGCATGTGTCGTGCTGTCGCTTTCTTGGGCCACGTGGAGCTCCAAGTCCAAGAAAAAACTGGTCTTTGGAAAATCAGAACAGCGTTTCGGGGTATATTATCTTAAAAGGTCTTACTTCGGGATCCTCAATAATCAGAACAGTGTTTGGGGGAACATCATGTTATATGATGTTTGGGACTAGAAGTGATACTGTTACCAATTATTCCGACCCTGAAATATTCGTTCCCCGTTGCTTGCCGTTCTTTGCACTGAGGTGGATCCAGATCGGCAAGTTCCGAATTGGAGATTCGGGCGGCAATGACTTGGCCATCATGCACACACGCGACAAGAATAGAGCCATTGAAGTTTACACGCCCCTGGGCAATTCTAGACAGCCATGTTTGTTTTACAACTTTAGGTTTCCGAGCCCTTCTTTGTTTTATCCTGTGCGGGTCATGAGGCGGGATGGCAACTACAAAACGGGCAACGCTCTCAATGGGAACTGGGGCAACTTGTATGGTCGACATCCGGCCCATTGGACCTGCCCGAGCATTGGAGACATCGCGCATGGTAAATGTGCGCTGGTCATGTTTAGATGTAGCTTGGAAGCTGCCCCCACCCTGTAATAGTGGTATAGTAGGAATATAATAGGGCCCTAATATAATTCTATATAACCCTTATAGTCACTATAACAGGGTGGGGGCCCCTTCTAAGATGTAGCCTTGTATCTCCAGGAAGCAGCGCTGTCCAGACTGCCAAGTGCTCCCCAGAGCATAATTAAGGAATATACCTTAAATCATATGAAAAAAGTGATCCTACCATAATTTTAACGCTACGCCGCCCGCCTCGGCTGTGTAGCGGCAGGGCGAGGGGGCAGTCGATGTTTTTTTATGCTAGGGCGGCCTGTCAAACCCCAACCTTTACACGGTTGTTGATACGAAGTGCGAGGAGAATGGGTAGGGGAGGGGGGGGGGGGGGGGGGGGGGGGGGGGGGGGGGGGGGGGGGGGGGGGGGGGGAGGGGGGGGGGGGGGGGGGGGGGGGGGGGGGGGGGGGGGGGGAGGCCGACAAATCAGGTAAAATGAGGGGAAGCCGGGCAAGGGGGTGGCAAACGAACGCAAAAAACGGGTGTCCGGCAGGGAGGAGGATTAGGTGGAGGGTACCTGAGCTAACCCCCAAGACGCCTGGGCCTGTGGCCTCGGCGGATTTAAGGCATATTCCTCAATTAAGGGATATTGGGTCATTCCTGCATTGGCAGGCAGGGAGGACTTCGGAGGGTGGGGAGATCGCTTTGTACAGCTCGGAGACTGGCGCTTGGCTGCCATCGATGATCGCAACTTCGCCTTCGCCCACAAGAACGGCAAGAACGTCGAGGTCTGCGGACAGGGCGAGCTGCAAGATGTGTTGTGCACCACAAATTCACATCGTATATAAGTATATGTAAATAAAAGTAATATATATATATATATATATGTATATATGTATGTATGTATGTATCTATGTATGCACGGATGTACGTATACACACGTTCCTATGAAGGCGTAGCTGCATAGAGAAGCACATGTATCTAAGTATATGCATACGCAAGTGTCGATTGACAGACATCTGCATGCATGTATGGATGAGTTGCTGCATGCTTTGGTGTAGAACCACATCAGCGGACGCATGCCGACAGAATATCACGCGGACATGGATCTTGCTTCGAATCCCTCCGTCTCTCTCTTGCTCTCGATATATATGTATATATGCATATTTAGATGGGAAGACTGCATCTTCACCACGCACACAAATGTATGGTACACATGTGCCTACATTCACCCATGTGTGTTTGCGCAGATCTGTCGTTCTGTACTAGCGTAGGAGCTTGCATAGACGGCCAAGTTCTTAGGGTTAATGTAGGGCCCTTCAAATGAATACTTGGAGGTTCATGGGTAGTTATAAGTGGCGTTATAGGCAGGGTAACTATATGTATAGCCCATATATTAGGAGACAACTACCCATGAACCTCCAAGTATGGTTCCTTTAAGGGTTCCCACGAGGATTCTACACCCTAAACTAAAGCCTAAACCCTAAACCCTACACGGGTTGGTATACACAGCAGCATCTTTGCTGCCCCGAGATCTTCAAGAGCGACGGCCGCCGCGTGTCGGGACGGAACAGTGACCGTGTCTGGCGAAGGCTGGGGGAGTACATGTGAAGAGAGACAGAGAGAGAGAGAGAGAGAGAGAGAGAGAAAGATATATATATATATATATATATGTATATATATATACTTATACATATATATATATATATATATAGACGTATGTACACATACATATGTATGCAAACCCCCCGTATCGACCCGCACTTCGCTAACATCTGGTGTATATAGCATTTTTTTTGCTTGTCCGTGGGCGTTATGTGTGCGTGCATCAGCAGGTGTCCGTGGGCATTACAACATGGTGCTGTTTCACATTCATGAAGGCGCATAGCATTGTATTCTGCTACAGCTACCTTGTGTCATTCTGCCATAGCCCAAACCATGATGTATTGGGACACGGGATAGGATAACTTGGGAAATATTCATGCAAGTTTAAGGCGATATATGCGTTTGACACACACACACACACATGAAGTTGTGTTTCTATGCTTGCATTATGGAAGGCTCCCTTGTACTCTTGAGGCGTTTCTTGGTCCTTGCCACAGCAGCGTAACTGGGCTTCGATTCGTTTTAGTGCCCCGATGGACACTGCAGAACGTTCTCAGGAGCATGTGTATTTCTGCAGCCTGCACTGTCACGCATGCCATCCGGTACTGGTCCTGTGTGTGCGTGCGTGTGCGTGTATGTGTGTGATATGTTTGATCGTGCCAGGAACAGCATAAAGGCTCCACTACAAGTACACGCACGCACATTCATACATGCATACATGCATACATGCATACATACATACATACATACATACACAGCTACCCATAGATAGAAACAGCCGGAAAGTATCACCACCTGTTGCCGTATGGAGCTAGTTTGGCAGAAACTACTTGCGTGCAGTGCCTCCTTTGTTCAATGATGATGCCTGGGCCCTGACCGCAGATCCTAAATGCACGCCTCTCGGCTTTCCCTAAAACCCAAACCCCAAACCCTAAACCCTTAAACCGAAACCCCACGCCGTAAACCCTAAGCCCTCAACCTCTAAACCCCAAACCTCCTGGCCCTAGTATAGATCCCTTTCAGACCTCTTTAAAGGAAGCCTAGTATAGATCCCTTAAAGATCCGTTGAAAGGAGCCCTATTTGTTATAGATCGACCCCTTTAACGGGACCCTATTATAGAACTTTATTATAGATCCCTTGCAGACCTCTTTGAAAGAACCCTCTTATGGATCCCTCATAGATCCCTTTAAAGGAAGCCTGTTATAGATCCCTCAAAGACCCATTTAAAGGGACCCTGTCAGAGGCCCCTCGGCTTTCCCCACGGCATCACCTTCGGAACAAGCTTCATCCAGATCGGCAGCTTCCGCTTAGCAGCGCTGGACAACGACCACTTCTCAATCTCTCACCAGAATCTCGGTCCGACCTCAAAGGTTGAGGGTTTGGGGGTTCAGGGTTTAGGGTTAAGGGGTCTTCAGAGGTTAGGGTCTACTGCAGGACGAACGTTGATCAAAATGGACATCGCCACGCTGGTCAAACAATGCAGATCTGGCGAAGCAACAGTGTCTCGGTGGCATTTTGCTAAACTTAAACTTAAGATTTCCGCCGTGGTTCCTAAAGAGGAACCTAGTCATTAATACTTTTCAGGGCCCCAAAACTACCACCCAGGCCATAAACCCTAAACCTTAAACCTTAAACCCCTAAACCCAAAACTGCCACCCAGGTGTGCACGACAAGAGCACTCACCCGGGCCCCAGGACCGACTGGAATGCCTGGCATGGCCACCACGCCCGCACCGCTGGCCCTGCAGGTGTCGGGCACCGAGCTTTGAAAGAAGCGTTTTGGGTTTAGGTTCAGGGTATCGTATATACATAAATATACCCGCAACAGAATGAGATAGATCAAAATGTCCGAAGGTGCTTGTGAGCAGAAATGTAGGCATTTTGATGGTTTCCCAGGTACGGGGATAGGTATTTGCAGATTGGCAACTTCCGGATTGGAGTCCCAGACGATGCAGACCACTGGTTGTACATAACCCGCACCGACGACGGCGATGGCAGAGTCATTCAGGTCGCTGGGTTCCGGTTTTGCAGCGACCTTTCCGGTTTATCATTTGCATGTTTTCCCTCTTGGTATTGGTAAAGCAGGGGTTCCACAAAAAGGGAAGCTCTAAGACCTAGATGCAAGCTGTGTCCAGGGCTGGCATAAAGACGGCACTGTGAATTCCCCTGGTCAGCGCCGACGCCAGTTTTCACCGACAGCCGTCCTGAACCGTCGGAATATTCAGTGGCACTGCGGCAACATCCAGAAGCTCAGCTTTTAGAATGTAGGGGCCTGACTAATTAGAGCAGGGTTTTGGGGTATATTATGAATACAATAATTACTATAATTACTACAATTACTATAATTTCTGTTTTTCTTACTATAATTACTATAATTACTATAATTACAACAAGGAACCTCCCAGGGTGGCCCGTTCTGAATTCTGAATTAAGGCCCCTACATGCGGGCTCGGGTGAGGGGTTTATGGTTTGCCTTGAACACTCCCGGACTGATGCTAAATCCTGCATTGTCGCCTTGAAGCCTCAAACCCGAAGCTGTTGAAGACCCAGCTTTAAAATCTAAACTCTAAACTCTAAACCCTAAAATTTAAACCTAAACTCTAAACTCTAAACCCTAAAATTTAAACCTAAACTCTAAACTCTAAACCCTAAAATTTAAACCCTAGACCCTAAACCCTAAAACCCTAAACCCTAAGCCCCCACTTAAAACCCTCAGACCCCCAAATCCTCGCCAAGGGCGAAGCTGGGCTCTTGCAGTGGGATCACCGCAGGAGAAGTTTCCCAAAGATCCAGCCTGAGCGGTAGGTTTAATGTGTAGGGTTTAGGGGTTTAGGGTTTCGGGTTGAGAAGGTTCGTTGCTGTTGCGCTTAGGGTGGAGGGCTTTCGGTGGTGTTAAGGCACATGGCCCTGCATGTTTTGGGGTTGGTGTTCAAGGTTCAGGATTTTCTTCCGGGACCCTACACTAAACCCCTAAACCCTAAACCCTATAAACCCTAAACCCTAAACCTCTCTTTCACATATATATATATATATATATATATATATATGAGAGAGGCGCCTCTAGGGTCTATTTTACGCTCTATTCTTTTCCTTATAATTAATATTATTTGAAATAATTGAAATAATTGAAATCAGCAGAGTTGATTTCAATTATTTCAATTATTTACATCCGCCAATGGGCCCAAATAATTGAAATAATTGAAATAATTGAAATCGATGGCTGTTCTGGGCCAAGCCACGAATCTCAGGGATTTCAATAATTGAAATAATTGAAATGGGGGGATTTCAAGTATTTCAATTATTTAAATCCGCCAAAGGCCCCAAATAATTGAAATAATTGAAATAATTGAAATCCCCCCCATCTCAATTATTTCAATTATTTCAATTATTTCAATTATTGAAACCCCTGGATTTGGTGGCTTGGGCCCACCGAACCTTCGGATTTCAATTATTTCAATTATTTAGATCCGCCAAAGGGCCCAAATAATTGAAATAATTGAAATCGATGGCTGTTCTGGGCCAAGCCACGAATCCCAAGGATTTCAATAATTGAAATAATTGAAATAATTGAAATAATTGAAATGGGGGATTTCAATTATTTCAATTATTTAAATCCGACAAAGGCCCCAAATAATTGAAATAATTGAAATAATTGAAATCAGCCCCATTTCAATTATTTCAATTATTTCAATTATTCAAATCCACTGGATTTGGTGGCTTGGGCCCACCGAACCTTCGGATTTCAATTATTTCAATTATTTAGATCCGCCAAAGGGCCCAAATAATTGAAATAATTGAAATCGATGGCTGTTCTGGGCCAAGCCACGAATCCCAAGGATTTCAATTATTTGAAATAATTGAAATAATTGAAATAATTGAAATGGGGGGATTTCAATTATTTCAATTATTTAAATCCGCCAAAGGCCCCAAAAATAATTGAAATAATTGAAATCCAGCCCCATTTCAATTATTTCAATTATTTCAATTATTGAAATCCCTGGATTTGGTGGCTTGGGCCCACCGAACCTTCGGATTTCAATTATTTCAATTATTTAAGTCCGCCAGAGGGCCCAAATAATTGAAATAATTGAAATCAGCCCCATTTCAATTATTTCAATTATTTCAATTTTTGAAATCCCTGGATTTGGTGGCTTGGGCCCACCGAACCTTCGGATTTCAAATATTTCAAATATTTAAATCCGCCAAAGGGCCCAAATAATTGAAATAATTGAAATCGATGGCT